GTCACTACGCCACTGATAATGTAGTTACTACGCCACTGATAATGTAGTCACTACACCACTGATAATGTAGTCACTACGCCACTGATAATGTAGTTACTACACCACTGATAATGTAGTTAGTACACCACTGATAATCTAGTCACTACACCACTGATAATGTAGTTACTACACCACTGATAATGTAGTTACTACACCACTGATAATGTAGTTACTACACCACTGATAATGTAGTCACTACACCACTGATAATGTAGTTACTACACCACTGATAATTTAGTCACTACACCACTGATAATGTAGTTACTACACCACTGATAATGTAGTCACTACACCACTGATAATGTAGTTACTACACCACTGATAATGTAGTTACTACACCACTGATAATGTAATTACTACACCACTGATAATGCAGTTACTACACCACTGATAATGTAGTTACTACACCACTGATAATGTAGTTACTACACCACTGATAATGTAGTTAATACGCCACTGATAATGTAGTTACTACACCACTGATAATCTAGTCACTACACCACTGATAATGTAGTTACTACACCACTGATAATGTAGTTACTACACCACTGATAATGTAGTTACTACACCACTGATAATGTAGTCACTACACCACTGATAATGTAGTTACTACACCACTGATAATGTAGTTAATACGCCACTGATAATGTAGTCACTACACCACTGATAATGTAGTTACTACACCACTGATAATGTAGTTACTACACCACTGATAATGTAATTACTACACCACTGATAATGCAGTTACTACACCACTGATAATGTAGTTACTACACCACTGATAATGTAGTTACTACACCACTGATAATGTAGTTACTACGCCACTGATAATGTAGTCACTACGCCACTGATAATGTAGTTACTACACCACTGATAATGTAGTTACTACACCACTGATAATGTAGTTACGACACCACTGATAATGTAGTTACTACACCACTGATAATGTAGTTACTATGCCACTGATAATGTAGTTACTACACCACTGATAATGTAGTCACTACACCACTGATAATGTAGTTACTACACCACTGATAATGTAGTTACTATACCACTGATAATGTAGTCACTACACCACTGATAATGTAGTTACGACACCACTGATAATGTAGTTACTACACCACTGATAATGTAGTTACTATGCCACTGATAATGTAGTTACTACACCACTGATAATGTAGTCACTACACCACTGATAATGTAGTTACTACACCACTGATAATGTAGTTACTATACCACTGATAATGTAGTCACTACACCACTGATAATGTAGTTACTAACTACTGATAATGTAGTTACTACACCACTGATAATGTAGTTACTACACCACTGATAATGTAGTCACTACACCACTGATAATGTAGTTACTACACCACTGATAATGTAGTTACTAAACCACTGATAATGTAGTTACTACACCACTGATAATGTAGTTACTACACCACTGATAATGTAGTTACTACGCCACTGATAATGTAGTCACTACGCCACTGATAATGTAGTTACTACACCACTAATAATGTAGTTACTACACCACTGATAATGTAGTTATTACGCCACTGATAATGTAGTTACTACGCCACTGATAATGTAGTTACTACACCACTGATAATGTAGTTACTACACCACTGATAATGTAGTTACGACACCACTGATAATGTAGTTACTACACCACTGATAATCTAGTTACTATGCCACTGATAATGTAGTTACTACACCACTGATAATGTAGTCACTACACCACTGATAATGTAGTTACTACACCACTGATAATGTAGTTACTATACCACTGATAATGTAGTCACTACACCACTGATAATGTAGTTACTAAACTACTGATAATGTAGTTACTACACCACTGATAATGTAGTTACTACACCACTGATAATGTAGTCACTACACCACTGATAATGTAGTTACTACACCACTGATAATGTAGTTACTAAACCACTGATAATGTAGTTACTACACCACTGATAATGTAGTTACTACACCACTGATAATGTAGTTACTACACCACTGATAATGTAGTTACTACACCACTGATAATGTAGATTACTACACCACTAATAATGTAGCTATTACACCACTGATAATGTAGTTACTACGCCACTGATAATGTAGTTATTACGCCACTGATAATGTAGTTACTACACCACTGATAATGTAGATTACTACACCACTGATAATGTAGATTACTACACCACTGATAATGTAGTCACTACACCACTGATAATGTAGTTACTACACCACTGATAATGTAGTTACTACACCACTGATAATGTAATTACTACACCACTGATAATGTAGTTACTACATCACTGGTAATGTAGTTACTACACCACTGGTAATATAGTACTACACCACTGATAATGTAGTTACTATACCACTGATAATGTAGTTACTACACCACTGATAATGTAGTTACTACGCCACTGTCATGAGTTACTACACCATTGATAATGTAGTTACTACACCACTGATAATGTAGTTACTACACCATTGATAATGTAGTTACTACACCACTGATAATGTAGTTACTACACCACTGATAATGTAGTTACTACACCACTGATAATGTAGTTACTACACCACTGATAATGTAGTTACTACACCACTGATAATGTAGTTACTACACCACTGATAATGTAGTTACTACACCACTGATAATGTAGTTACTACACCACTGATAATGTAGTTACTACACCACTGATAATGTAGTTTACTATACCACTGGTAATGTAGTTTACTACGCCGCTGCTGCTCCTACGGTGGGGTGACTGTCAGCACCCTGGACTTCCGATGCACAGCTCGCCAGTTCGATTTTTTTTCATGTTTGAATGTCCTCACCTCTGTCTATCTAGTTAGTAAAACTTGGGTCGGTCCCGTGTGGTGGGGTAAAGTGCGGGTACACCCACCTCTCCTTCCAGGACGCCTGGCCACCGTGGAAGCAAGAAGGCCCAATAGCTGCTTTCGCTCCTCCCTCGCGGAAGGCTAGAGGGGCTCTCTCTGGGGCTTCCTCTCGTTGGAGGTCATTCTGGCGAGGATGGCCTGAGCGATACATTGCTGTACATGGCCGCACCTTTGACATTTTATCGCAGAAGTGAAGGGCCACACAGGGGAGTGGCGTTTAACCGCGATTGAGAGAGCGTCGCGCAGAGAACGTCGCTGCGGCGCGCGGCACGGAGCGGCTGCTCCTTGTCGACGTTTGCCCAAAGTGCACGGAGATCCGGAGACGTGGGGGGCATTCGCAGCTCTCCGTGATTGCGTGGAATTCAGGTCGCGTGGGGTTTCATGGTGACGATGCCAAGTGGGGAAGCTCCGTTGGAGTAATAATTGACGGCCGAATTTTGCACGGGGGCCCGGTGCACAGAGAGTTAGGAAACAAGCCCCACGTGGCAATTGCACCATCTCAACTAAACAATGGTTTTATTTTGCAGCTCTTTCTGGGAAGGAACCTGGCCACAATTGATAGTTCAACGAAGTGGCTTTTCACGTGAAAATGTCTAAACTCTAAACGCACACCGATTCTTAATGTGGAAGGACAAACCGGAGGACCTGGAGAAAAATCCACGCGACCACGGGGAGGGAGAGAGAAACATACAAACTCCAAATATACCGCGGGCGTCAGGGCTGTAATCGAACCCATGACCTCCTGTACCCCTACAACGTGAACCTGGCTCGGTCCGCCCTTCGGTCGACTCGGCCGAGAGCTTGGAACCACCCCGCGGCCGTCGGCGTTAGCAGGCCACCGCGTGCCGCCGCGTCCTTGGCTGGGCTCGCGAACGGCGCCGGGGTGCAACGCGCGCCGCCCTGAGGATGCACTTTATCGAAGATCGTTCGTCGTGCGCACTTTCATTTGTTTATTGCGCCATTTATTTTTTTGGATTGCCCAATAATTGACCTGGGATGATGGGGCAAGTGTGTCTGAGTGTAGGGTAATGAGAAAAAAATATATGGATCAATTGCCCTTTATTTATCAAATTTGAAACCATCGATCCGTTGGCGCATGTTTAAGCAATTAGGAAAAGATATTAACAGGCGATGTTAGTAAAATATATTGACAGATGTGTCACTAACCTTCATCTGGGCCGTAATGGTAAGCCTGATTAGATTATTTTCATTATTAAAGGTTAATACATTTCTTAAAACGTTAACAGCTGGTGCGACATCACGGATGATGACCTGGGACAGAGTAATGGGGATGGAATGAGCCGCGTGCCGACGGCCACTGGCACCTGTACGGCGCCCACCACACCAGCGCAGCGCGGTGATGAAGCCAGATGGCTGCTTGGCTCTCCTGTGGCTCCCCTGTGGCTCCCCTGTGGCTCCCCGGTGGGCTCCCCTGTGGCTCCCCTGTGACTCCCCTGTGGCTCCCCTGTGACTCCCCTGTGACTCCCCTGTGGCTCCCCTGTGACTCCCCTGTGGCTCCCCGGTGGCTCCCCTGTGGCTCCCCGGTGGCTCCCTTGTGGCTCCCCTGTGACTCCCCTGTGGCTCCCCTGTGGCTCCCCTGTGACTCCCCTGTGGCTCCCCTGTGGCTCCCCTGTGACTCCCCTGTGGCTCCCCTGTGGCTCCCCTGTGGCTCCCCTGTGGCTCCCAAGTGGTTCTGCTATTTCCCCATGAACTACAATCCACTATTCCCTACAACAGGACATTGACTCTTTTCCAAATCTCCTCTAAGCTTGCTAAATCCAAGCAATACGTTAACAGTGCTGCCTGTTGCTGGTCGCTCGACGTTCAGTGCTGTGCACGTGAACGAGTAGCTGATCGTGAGCCCTGTGCATCAGTGAGTGTTGCGTCGGTGAGCACTGCGTCGGTGAGCGGTGAGTCGGTGAACGGTGCGTTGGATGAAAGCCTCCCAAAGCAGCAATGGTGACAGAGTGAGAGTTATGATGACGACATTGATCATCGCCATCATCCACCACCGCGCTCACGCTCCCCGTGCCGTCGCTGTGCCGCAGATGTGGTGATGGAGGACGACCCTCCGTCGTCGTCGTCGCCGCTCCCGCACCCGCCGCCATCGCTGTGCGGCGCCACTTCGGAACCGGCGGCGGCGCCGGCGGCGGCGGCGCCGGCAGTGCCGGGGGGCGGCGGCGGCGCCCACTCGTGCGGGGCATGCGGCACGGAGATCGCCGACCTCTCCGACTTCCTGCGCCACCGCCTGGCCTGTTCGGCTTCGCGCCGCCCGCCCCCCGCGGAGGCGCCGCCCGGCCCTGACGCCGCCCTCGCTGAGGCCCTCGGCGGCCAGGCCACGGCGGCGGCGGGGGCACCCGGCCGCGGTGAAACGGGCGGTCCGGACGGCGAGGAGGAGGAGGAGGAGCGGGAGGGTGGCGAGGAGGAGGACGACGGGTGTGGGGAGGAGGAGGAGGAAGAGGAGGGGGAGGAGGGGGAGGGGCGCAACGACGAGCTGGAGGAGGCTGACGACGGCGAGGGGCGGGGGGGCGACGCGGAGGAGAAGATGGAGGTGGACGGAGGAGCGGAGGTGACGGCGCTGCCGCCGGCGTCGGCGTCCAGACGTGGGGCCGGCGGCGGCGGCGTCACCCTGGAGGCACTGCTGGGCACGAGGGTGGCGGTGGCGCAGATCTCGGAGCCGTGTGCCGGCGAGACGGACTCCGCCGACGAGGACGCGGAGCGCGGCGTCGCGTCGGCCGCGGCCGCCGGCCCCGGCGCCACCATGACGTTCCCGCTCATCCTGGAGCAGCTGACCGCCCTGCAGCAGCAGCAGATGCACCAGCTGCACCTGCTGGAGCAGCTGAGGGGCCAGCTGGCGCTGCTGGCGCCGCATAGCGTGTTTGGGTCGCTGCACGTGGGTCCCGTCATGGCGCTGTCGTCGCAGATCAGCCGGCGGCTCTCGGACTCGCAGGCGCTGGCCGGCCACGTGGCCCTGGCCTCCGAGCTGCTGGGCCGGCGGCCCTCCGAGTCGCTCGGCCTCGCGTCCCCGGCGTCGCACCCGGGCCGGCGCGTGTCGGAGGCGCACGCCGTGGCGAGCCAGAACGCCAGCTTCCCCAGCTCCCGGCAGCCGGTGCCTCGGAGCGCCGGCGCCGCCGACGGCGCGGGCCCCGGGGCGGCGACGCCGCAGAGCGCCCGGTCGCGCCGCGCCGGCTCGCCGGTCGGCACGAGCAGCAGCGCCGGCGGCGGCGCGGCCTCCTCGCGGCCCCTGAGCCCCCGCGCGGGCCTCGCCTCCGCGGCCTCCCTCGGCCATGGACTCGGCCTGTTCGGCGCCTCCTCCGGCCTGGGCCTGTTTGGCCCCCAGCTGACGCAGTCCTTCGCGAACTCGGGCGGGATCTTCCCCAGCCCGCTCAGCGGCATGGCGGCGGTGGCGATGGTCACCGACAACTCGCTGTCGAAGCTCGTCGGCAACGCCAAGACCCCCGCGGTGGCCGTCAAGGGCTCGGCGGAGGCGAAGGCTGCGGCGGAGGAGAGCTTCTTCCGCCACAAGTGCAAGTTCTGCTCGAAGGTGTTCGGCAGCGAGAGCGCGCTGCAGATCCACCTGCGCTCGCACACGGGCGAGCGCCCCTTCAAGTGCAACATCTGCGGCAACCGCTTCTCCACCAAGGGCAACCTCAAGGTCCACTTCCAGCGGCACAAGGACCGCTACCCGCACATCCAGATGAACCCCTTCCCCGTGCCCGAGCACCTGGACGGCGTGCAGACGAGCACGGGCATCCCCTACGGGATGTCCGTGCCGCCCGAGCCGCCCTCTGGCAGCTCCTCCTCGTCCTCCCCGTCGCTCTGGCTGGCGGAGACCAAGCTGGGCCCGCCGCCGCAGCAGCAGCAGCAGCAGGACCGGCCCGGCTCCCCTGGCACCCGCGGCGGCTGCCCCCGCACGCTCTCCCCTCCCGTGAGCGACGCGGCCACGGGCCTCGATTCGCCGCCGCGGGGCGGCGACCGGGCTTCGGGGTCGCCGGGCCGCCGGGGTCAGGCATCGGACGCGGCGCGGCACGACGAGGAGGAGGACGACCCGCCGGGCATGCCGCGGGGAGGCCCCGCGGCCGCCAGGCCGGCCCGCGACGAGCCGTCGGCCGCCGCCCGCTTCCTGTCCGTCTCTTCGGAGGCGTTCGAATGCAAGTTCCCGTTCGTGAGCGAGAGCTACCTGGACGCGGCGCACGCCTCGGAGACGTCCAAGCTGCAGAGGCTCGTGGAGACCATCGACCGCGAGGCGACGGGCGACCCCAACCGGTGCGGCGTGTGCCACCGCGTGCTCAGCTGCCCGAGCGCGCTCAAGATGCACCACCGCACGCACACGGGTGAGCGGCCGCACAAGTGCAAGGTGTGCGGCCGCGCCTTCACCACCAAGGGCAACCTCAAGACGCACCACGACGTCCACCGCGCCAAGCCGTCGCCGCTGCACGCCCTGCACTCGTGCCCCATCTGCCAGAAGGGCTTCTCCGACGCCGTGGTGCTGCAGCAGCACGTGCGCATGCACGTGGGCGGCCAGATCCCGCTCAACCCGCTGCCCGAGCCCGGCGACGCCCGCTCGCCCTTCGAGGACCGCGACGACGCGGAGAGCCTCGGTGGAGACGCCGACGACATGGAGGCAGAGGAGTGCGGCGAGGACGCGGGCCAGGGCCCCGCGCCCTCGCCGGCCGAGGGGACGCCGCCGCCGCCGCGGCCGGCGTCGTCCGCCGCCGCCCCGGGCCTGGCGACGCTCGAGAACCAGATGAGGCTGGTGGAGTCGGCGCTGAACCGGCAGTCCCGGGACAACGACGACAACGACGGCGCCGACGACAACGACGACGGCGGCGGCGGAGGAGTGGGGGTGGAAGATCACCGGGGCGGCGGGAGTCCGGCGACGCCCGAGTCGGCGTCTTCCTTCCACGTGCTGTCGCCCCCGAGCCTGCACTGGGCCACGGCCGACATCGGGAAGGCGGCGCCGTTCGCTCCGCACGCGGCCGACGAGAAGCCGGCGCCGGCGGTGAAAGTGAAGCCCGAGCCGGAGGAGAAGCGCTCGCCGCCCTTCTTGAGCGATGCCTCGTTCGGCTTCCTCCCCGCCGGCTTCGGCAAGATGATGTTCCGTGACGACGCGCTCAGCATGCTGCTGCCCTTCAAGGAGCAAGGTGGGTCGGGGCGACACGCCGACGCCACTGTCGCCCGCGCTCCCATCTGGCGAGGCTTTTGGGCAGCGCACGTCGACTTAATGGCGTTGTGGTTCTCACAGCCAATGATTAAACAACTGGAATTTTGGGCAAGGCCACGTTTTTATCCGACTAGATTTGTGTCATGAGGAACCCTCCAACAAATAAATTGTCACGCGGCGTACATCTCCGATTAGCACGGTTGGCTACGCAAAGTTCAATATACATACATACGTAACGTGGCAATTGTTGTCGTGTGTGTTTGTGTTCAGTGCATGCGTAGTGTGTGTGTGTAGTGGATAGCGCGCTGCGTTACTAACCAGGCGGCCCAGGTTCCCGCTCACGGCCAACATCAGTATCTGAACCGGTTCTGAGCCTCCCCTAGGTCTACTCAGCCTCAATTGAGTACCTGGTGTGGTGCGAAAAAACATCGCCACTAGGGAAACACAGGCGGCCGGGCATGGTGCAGCCACCCACCCCCTCGCGTGCCGTTCTGGCCTTTTAGGTAGTCGCTATCGGCACTTGCCCCAACAGTCTCTTAAGGTTATACAGGGGATCTCTTTGTTATTTTATAGACACGTATCCCGAGTTACACAAATGTGGGTGTGATTGCACGCGTGTAGGTGCGTGTGTACGTGCACGTTCGTGACCCAGGCTCAATCCCTGAGTGAAGTCGCTGTCTTTCCCCGCGTCCGTGTTTTCACCAGGCCTGAAGTTCATGCCTTCGCCCGCCTTCTTCAAGATGGAGGAGTCCTTCCTGAGGCTGAGCGGTCGAGATGGGGGCCCAGGCCCCGCTCACAGCCTGCCCCCGCTAGGAGGCCTGCACCCCTCTCACTCCCACCCGCACCCCCACCCGCACCACCAGCAGCACCACCACCACCAGCACCACCAGCACCACCACCACCCGCACCACCAGCACCACCACCAGCCGCCGCCGCAGGGCCCCCCTCCGCCGGCCGCGCCGCGCCGCTCCAGCAAGCAGCACACGTGCCTGACGTGCGGCAAGCCGTTCTCGTCGTCGAGCGCCCTGCAGATCCACGAGCGCACGCACACCGGGGAGAAGCCCTTCGCCTGCAACGTGTGCGGACGGGCCTTCACCACCAAGGGCAACCTCAAGGTGCGTGCGGGCCAGGGCAGGGGGCGCGGGCGGGCGGGCCCGTGTCGCGCTCGCGGGGGATGGGGAGCTGGGATGGGCAGGGATGGGGAGGGACGCGTCGGGTGGTGGGCCGGCGAGGGTCGTTTGCGTGCGGCCGAGCGGTCCCGCCTGTGCGTGCGTGCCTAACGCGCGTGCCGCCGCCCCGCAGGTGCACATGGGAACGCACATGTGGAACAGCGCCCCGCAGAGGCGAGGCCGCCGCCTCTCCCTCGACTCTCCCGCCGCCGCCCTCCTCGGCGGCGCCGCCGACGCCTCCAAGTTCCCGGACGTCTTCCAGCTGAAGGAGTTCCACGCGGCGCGCCAGGCCGCCACGGACGCCGCCTTCTGGAACCAGTACGCGGCCGCGGCCGCCATGGCCAACGGCGCGATGGCCGCCCAGCACCACGGCCCCGCGCCACCGGGGGGGGCGGCGGCGTCGGTCCTCAAGCCGAACGAGATCTCCGTCATCCAGAACGGAGGCCCGGCGCCGCCCGGCGCGTTCTTGTCGTTGAGCGGCGTTGGAGGAGGAGGAGCTCCCCCGGCGTTCCTGCGCCTCGCCGGCGGGCCGAGCGCCGCGGAGCGCGTCGGGGTCGTGGCCGGGTCGGCGGTGCCGCCCACGTCAATGCCTCCACCTCGGCTGGCCCCGTCGCTGGCCGGCACCGGCTCGGACGATCTCGCCGCCGCCCCGGACGCTCGCGAGGACGCGGGGAGCGGCGACGACGACCGCGGCGACGACGACGACCGCGGTGACGACGGCGGAGGTGGCGGCAGCGGCAGCAGCGGCACCGGGAGCCCGCCGTGCCTCCAGGAGGAGCCGCGCGGGCCCAGCCCCGGGCGCGAGCGCAGGGAGGAGGAGGAGGACGACGCGGATGAGGAGGAGATGCCGGCCATGACGGCGTACGGCGTGGGCACGGAGCCGGCGCGGGCGCTGGAGGCCACGCTGAGCCACCGCTTCGCTCGCTTCATGGAGGACGGACACGAGCTCGGCGTCAACTGAGTCCGCCCGCCCCCCCACCTCGCTACCCCCCACCCGCTTTCAACGTGATGCCGCCGAGACGCGCGACGGGTGGCCCGGGGCACGCAAGCGCTGTCCCCGCCGTGGTCGACGGAGGGCAGCTTCCTCGCCGCACGGCGGGGCGAGGGGCACGCCCGGGGCAGTGGCCCCTTCAGAGCGGAGAGAGAGAGAGAGAGGTGGGCACTGGCCGACCACGACGCGGTCGTCGCGGTCTCCCGCGTGGCTTTGCAGGACGCCGGAGCCTCGCGACTGTGAATCGCAACTCGCATTCGCTCTCTACTCTGAAGAAATGCCTTATCCTGAAGTGTTATTATCATCATCGTCACCACCATTTGTTCGTCCGTTTTAAGGAGAGCTGCCAGAGTTGCACCGACTCTCTCTCTCTCTCGGCTCGTCGCGAGCGAACGATTGTGTCATCTGCTCCGCGGGCACCTGGCGTGGGTGCGGTGAGGCCTCCGTGACGGCGATGCCAACGCGCGGCATGGCAGCGCGCTGAGGGTGGGGGGGAGGGGTGGGGACCGCGGGGGTCGTTCGGGTCGGGACTCGGCCGACGGGGTAAACGTGGGAACACGGGGTGAGCCGCTAGTGGGGCCGCAGCTTCGCCATCGCTTCCTTCCTTCTGCCATACCCCACAGTCGACCGTGATCGACCCTTCCGAGCGCCACGGCAACGTGGACTTGCGACGTGACGCCATGTGTCCGTTACTACCCACCGCAACGCCTCTCTCATTATTCGCAACCGAGACGTCGATGAATCCGACGTAGTTAACGGTCCCCGGTGGAGCGGCGGGACAAGCGGTTGGCGTGCTGAGCTGCGTTCGATTCCCCCTCCTCTCTTCAACCCGCGCTGACCGGCGTGGTGAAGTACGGTCGAAAGCCCCCCCCCCCTCCCGTGACCCATATGGCGTGGGAGAGACCTCCGTCGGTCGGCGGGATGCAAAGCGGCTGTCATGAACTACAATGCAAGGGTGTGGGGCGATGTTGTGGGGGTGCTGTAATTTTGCACACTTCGTCTGCATAACAAATGTACAGCAACCGTCAAAGAAAAAAAACAGCAACAAACGCTTACGTTCGTTTCACCGAGCTCAAGTGTTTCTGTCGCTGCAGCTCACGGCGGCGAAAATGTTTCCAAAATGTGACCCCCCCCCCCTGCTCCCCGCGCAGTCTCCCCCTCGCCCCCCAACCCGAAGTTCACCTCCGCCGCGAGCTCACGCCGGGGGTGGTGGTGCGGGGGGGTCTGCGGGAACGGCTCGCCGGTTCTATTCTTCATCGCATTTGTTCCCGGCAGTCGCCCTGGTTGCGTCACCAAAGAGCGCGTGGCCCGCACGTGAGGCGGACACTTGCAGACCCAAAAGGCCCCGGCGGGGTTGTTCACGCCGCCGTTGCGGGGAATTGAGAGACGGGGGATGGGGCTTCCTCCGCATTCCCTGGCTTTTGCTCGAGGAGTCTCGGGCGGCTTTGCGTTCCTTTTACAGGAGCCACCGCAGCCGCTCTGGCTCCGCTGCGACGTGGATACATTCCAGCATCTCGGAGGATCGGGGAACGTCGGCTTCACCATCCCCTTTATTGCGTGGGACCGGGAGTCGCTTGAGAAGGAGATCTCAGAAATAGCTCCTTGATACCCGTTGCCACGGCCATTCGCTGACACGAAGGGCTCGCGCCGTGGTGCGAGCGTGAACCCGAACGCTTCATCTCAGGACGTGAAGCCAGCGGAGAACACGAGATCTCAGAGTGATGACGACGTCGATCTAGAGTTACGGCGATCCTCGTTGCCCTGCCACAGACAAGTCCGCAGGCAGCAGCGACGATGCAGACAGGCTCTGGGCGCCCGCCTCTGTGCCGTCGCTGCCCGCGGCCCTTGCTCGGCGGCTCGGCCTTTGCTGCCCAAGAGGAGGCCGCTCGATCACGTCTCCATACCCAGACCTCAACGCCTCGCGCACAAAAACAGCAACAACAACAGCAACGCTCATAATCGTCGAGCATATTTGGAAATCGCGCCGTTCTTACAGAGCAAAAGGCTCACACCGGAAAGTGCCGCTGTGTGTCGTAGACGCAGGCTGCTGTAGTTTCACAATCGTGGGGGGGGGGGGGGGGGGGGCGATGTTGTTGCTGCTGCTGTTGTTGTGTGTGATCCCAGTTGGATAGTTTGCAGGAGACATTTTTCATATCTGGCAAATTTGGACCGTGACCCCGGTGCGCCACGGCCTGCGCTGTTCCAACGACGTCGCCAGATCTTTAACGCCCGCCGTTAAGCCGACCGCACGGACTATTTTACTCCGGTTCACACTGCTCACGCCCGCAGCAGCGTCAACCGGTGCCGCCCTGCGGGATCAAACCCTGAACCTCCGCGACAAGTGGCAAAGCGCGCCGCCACCGCCGGACAATGTCACAGCGGCCGCGGCACTGCCGGAGCGGATACCGAGCCCAGTCACAAAGCCAGCGCCCCCAGCCCCTCCGAGTGGCGCCTCAAGCAACGGCGAGCGGCGAGAGGCCAAGCGCAGAGCCGCGGTCCTGTGCGACGCCTCTCCGTGCCGCAGAGGTCCTCACCAAGTCATTCTCGTTGCAAGCGCGGCGATTCTCACCTTCGCGGCGAGCTTTTTACAGCGTTCTATTCGGTACGACGGTTCGTTTAGTCGCCTAGCTAGGTAGGTAGGTGTGCTGGCAATTCGCGGTGTCCTGTGTGGTAGGTGTTAATAACGCGGGAGAGTGGCCGTGAAGGCTGAGTTTGTAATTTATCTCCGTCGTGTTGAACCCGTGCCGTGCCCGGCACTGCATGGATTCAATGATAATGATTCGTGACTGTGCTGAGCCCACACTCTGTGGGTGTGGTAGCTTCTGCCGAGCGCGGCGCCACTCGTGCCCCGCAGCAAGAACACCCTGGGTTCGATTCCCAACTCGGGATGCTTTTCTGCGTGGAGTTTGTAAGCACTCGCCTTGTTCTGCACGGGTTTCCTCCGGGTTCTCTGCTTTCCTCGAACAACTAAACGCAATCGATGTCATCGGTGCTGGCCAAACATCGCAATGGAGCAGGACCCTCTTGAGAAACAGAGCATGCAGACTCAGGGGTGGCTTTCCCGGGTCAATGTGTAGCAAGCAGTATTGTCATTCCACAAGTTCGAACTGAGATTGGCGGAACTTGATGCAGCAATTTGCGATGGCTGGGTCCGCTCAGCACGAGCCTCAGACTCGCCGCTACATCGCCGCTGCCGCCGCCGCCGCTGCTACTACTGCGATTGGAGGCTTGCAACGACAGCTACACTCTGTCCAACTTCCCGAGAACAGAGTCTCTGGTAGCAGAACCGCCGTTCTGCTCGTGTGGGGCTACTTCACTGGGGTCGCGGCGGCCACCTTGGTTGGTGCTGCCGTTGCCCCCGTGCGCTGCTCCTGTGGGTTGTTGTTGTTGCCGTGGATGCCGACACAAGTCGGGGAGTCGCGAGGCTCTCGGCCGCCGCCCCCGTGTAAAGTCGCGAAACCCTCGGCGGCGGCGTCGGCGGTCGGGACGAGGTGCGGCGGAGCGATAGGGTAGCAGTGGACAGTCCCTGACCAAAGTTGTACGCGACGTGGATTTTCGTGGGGTGGGCGCGGAGGGAACGGCGTCACGTCGTGTCTCGCGCGTGTTGCGAGCAGTGTTATTTTATTGTGAAAGAGGCGACGGTTTGCACGCACGCGCACACACACGAACACGTGCGGACTCACGGACACGCACAGGGCAGTGCGTCGTCCCCCGGATTGGCCGACAGCGTTCGGGCTGCGACCCGCACGCGCCGTGCCTCCGCCGTGCCTCCGCCGTGCTGGAGGCACGCACAGCGGCAGCGCGGCCTCCATGCCAAGGAGCCCGAGGGTCCGGCCGAGGGGCGTCGAGTGCCTGCTTGCACCTCGTTCTACGGCAGTTGTCACCCGCACGACGCTTTTGACCCCGGGTTTAAAACATATATACACACACATATATACATCGATATAAACAACAAACCCCGATAACGTCGTCGAGTGGTGGGAACCCCCCGCCGCAGCTGAACCCCCCGGCAGGCAATGGGATCCCCCCCCCCCCCGCGTCCGGGTCACTCTCCCTGGCACGGGGAGCGGCTGCGCCCTGCGTTGCGTTGCATTCACGAAGCACATTCACACCCGATCACGCTGGAGGAGTCCAGAAGATGCGTAGCGGACTTTATGGATCGCCTACCCCCCCGCCCCCACCACTTCCATGTCCGCTAGCTCGGGTGAACGCACGCGGTGCAACCGGTGAATTGAAGTGACAAACGGCTGAAGTATTTTGTTTTATTGCAGTTGGACGAACGCACTTTAGAATGTCTGTGAAGCGCGAGTCGCGGTATTAGTGTGGGCTCCGTTGGCCTTGAGCGTGACTCTCGGCGCGGCGCTGAGGCCCCCCCCCCCGCTCCTCGCGGACGGGAGAGGGCGGCGCGTGTCACGGGGTCCCGGGAGCCCGGAGGTCCGGGAGTCGTCCCCACGGCAGCCAGCCCTGGCGTGTTTCTACTCCGTTTTTGTTGCTTTCAAGAGTCCTGCGACGCTCGGTGTGGCCACGGCCGAGGCAGGGACGGCGGCGGTTCCACCGAGTCGTCGATTGTCAGCTGCCCGAGTCGGCCTCTGGAAAACTTCCACGTCGATGCCTCCCGGTGACGCTCATTTCAATGAGACGATTACGAAATCACCTGGGCTGGGATCGCGCAGTCGCTTCCACAGCTCCCTGTGGAGCTGGCGTCTGAACTAAAAAAAACGGAACAATGTTTATTTTTATTTATTTCACAAGGCCCACTGAGCTATACAGCTTTTTTTCAGAAGTGACCTGGCCACAATTGACAGCCCGACGAAGTGGCTCACAACGTGGAAATTGATAGCAGCCAAATACTCTAAATGCGGGATGTTGATTCTAAACGCGTGGGGGAAAACTGGAGGACCCAGAGAAAAATCCACGCGACCACGGGGAGAGACACGCAAACTCCAAATATACAGCAGGCATCAGGGTCGGGATCGAACCCACGACCTCCTGCATGCCAGGCGAGGTAGTTAACATCTCGCCACTGTGGCTGACCTGGTGATCGTAACTCCACGGCGTCGTCTTCCCCGCGTGCGCGCAGTGATTCCTTCGGAAGCTGACGGTGGCGTCTGTCAGAAGACGTCCACTGTCCCTCCGCGTGCTCCGGTTTCCTCCCACGTGACTGTACACACTCACTACTTGGCTGAAAACACCTTGATATGTAGAGAACTGCAGAACGATTGTCGGCGCCGCCTCGCCGCCTGGCGACCTGCCAGCTTTTGCTCGCGATCCCTCGGGGGTTGTGAGAACGGCGCGAGATAAAATCATGAGGGTTGTTTTTTTTCTTAATTCCGAACAAGTTCTGAGTAAAATCCGTGTTTCGAGACTACGCAAAAGCTGCAGCCAATTGTACAGAGCCCTTGCCTCGTTGGAATCCGGAACCCAGCCCACGGATTTGTTTGTGTGCAAGCCTCTACTTGTCGAGGTATATTCACAGAGGTAGAGATACCCGCAGTTTCATGGGAAGTTAACAGGATGATTGGTTCATCGCCCTTAGACATTTAAGACATTTGAAAGGAACCAACTTCAAAGATTACAACGAAGCCTTGTTTGCACTCCGAGCACTGCAAAGTTCAGGTGAATATAATGGGATTAACGTCCCCTCAATATGAGTCGCTCACTTCACTGTTCACGCGACGTTCCCATCCTGGGACGAGCTGTGGCAGTGAAATGAATCAAAGATGAAGGTTGTTACAGGAACAGCCTCGATTGGGCATCGCATCCGCAGTGCCGCGACAATGCGAAGTGGAACACTGGGCTACCAACGGCGTTTGGCCTTTTGTGGCCACAACCTGCTGATGAGCACACCACTCTACGAGATGAAATCCGCATTTACCCACACAGCAAGTGAACAAGCGAACACCCGTCTTATTTATTGCATTGTTGGTGTCTCCGTGTTGTTCCGCAGCAACAGTGCGCCGCAGAGTTTGAATGTGAAGCAGATCAGTATTACTCCTATTGTTACGATTGTACTATTCCTACACCACCAGGGGGGCAGCCAGGCCTGGACACACCCCCAGGGTCGCGGGGCAGTTCCCAGTCCTCGAGTCCTGGCTGAGTGTCCACCAGCGGTGCCGCGAGTGTTCACCCACGCTGAGTGTTCACCCACGGGGCCACGAGTGTGCAGCCCGAGTCGGTGCACCATCGCCCCGGCGCACGCTGCGTTGCTGCTTGTCCTCCTTGCGTCGTTGCCAGATTAGAGCTGTTAAGAGTTTTATTTTTGGAAGTATTGAGCGTTGATGTCACACTACTGTTTCGTGAGAGCGTGCGTGAGCCGCAGAGCTCTGAGACCCACCTCTACTTCGCGAACGCGCGTGAGATTTCTCGTGGATATTTAGGCCAGAATTTGGCCTTTGGTGGTGTCGGGCATTTTTGCATTGGAATCCCGACTGCCGAATGTCCCAGTGGTGGCATCAGCGACGAGACACAGAGCACATCCATGCCCATTGGTAGCACTCCCCCAACAGCAGCAGAGCAGCCCTCTGCCACTTTGGAACATCTGGACATTTTAAAGCAATTCTTCATCTGACATCCTTGAAAGGGCCTATCTTTCCACAGCCCGTAGACTCTGTAGCCATGCAGGGCGGGTGGTTCGCTCTCTGTCTCTCTCCTGACTACGCCCCTCCTTCCTGGCTTTGACAGAGATTCAAAACGCGAAACTGGATTCCATGCGATGGCTCGAAGTGCATTCCATGGCTGAGGGCCTCAAACTCGCGCGATGACCCCGGGGCCCGCGTTCATCTCGGGGCCCGCGGCCACCGTGCGCCGCCGTAGGAAAGACTTCTCACTCCCGACATTTGGCAACCGCGGGATGGCTGCGTGATTTCCGAGCTTTCGGAGAACGCAATACCGTCGGTGCAAGTGTGCCCGAGTGACTCCCAGCAGAGTCACCGATGTCGACGATCACACCGAGCGACCAAATGGCATCGTGGGCGAGGTTTCTAAACAAGAGCTGCTTCTCACGCGCGAGTGTCGTTCTGCTACCGACGGAGTCGTTGTGAATGCCGCTTGCAGCTCCCCCCCTCCCCCACCGCGTTGTGGCTGCGTCGTGGGTGGAGGACCGCCGGCCACCGCGAGACGCGCCGCGTGCTCGCTCGTCACGTGCTCACTCACGTGACCCCTGACCTACCTCAGTTACACAGCAAACGTGGCTTGTGAAATTGTGCGTTACCGCTCGCTGTATATATTTACGCGCACGCGCGCGTGTACCCGTCGTGTGTGAACACGCGTGGAAAGCGGCTGATGGACGGAGCGTCTTCTTGTCAATGTGACGTGGGGGCGGTGATTATTCGTTTGTGAACAGAACCGGTGCTTGGTGGGGGGGGGTTTTGTTTGTTTGTTGTTGCAGTGGTCGCGGCCGAAGTGCCACCCTTTTAACGGGAGAGTCCGAATGTGATTCATCACCCTGGAGGTGCAGACCATTTGGATGCCTTTGCAGCACGAAGCACGTCCGCTGAGCGTGATCGGCCACCGCTATCGAGGTGCTCCGAGCGAGGGGGCCGCCGTCTCCAAGCTGCACGTGACGAGGGAAACGCAACGCAGTTGACGCACGTCATCCGTTAAACAGCTATCGCATTGCAGCAGTGGTTATTGATTATAAATGCATTTGAATCTTGGTACATCAATGGCGCATAATTTCAAACCGATCACATGACGTTTAGATTTGAGGTCTCCGCAGCCTTGATTATAATTCATTTTTAGACTTTATTCGGTTATAACGTTTAACAATGAATACATTAAACTTGGTCACACATCCCAATATTGACTCCTGGAGGAAAAAAAAAAACAACCCGAGTCACATGAAGCTGGGGGAGGCCACTCATTGGGAATAAACCGCGGTCGATGATAACCGCATTTTTGTTCACCTCGAAGCGCCACTTTTCCCGATCACCATAACACGATGATCATGATCAGCCAACCGAAGCGCGTGCGTAACCCTCCAGAACCTGCGCAATTCGGAGAACGCGTCCGCGATTGGAGTGAAGCGGCAGCTTGAAAGAACGGAGCCACGATAGCGAGCAGCAGTAGCAGCAGCAGCAGCAGTCGACGGCGGACATACTTGGTGACGTCACAATGCATCCACGTGCTCTGGAGCTGCACGCGACGAGAGGGGCTTGAGCGCTCACACTCTGGGTGGCGTGGCATACATCTGCCGGGAGGTTGCTATATCCGCCTCCTTACAGAATGTTCAATTCCCACGTGCGTATCGTGGGTAGGTGACGAGAGTGTGTGTGTGTGTGATTGAGGGATCAGTTGTTGTTCGCCGCTACGGTCATCGATCAAAGCTTCAGACACCACCGACACAATCTAAAATGTAGTGTGTTCACCAAACGCAGCAGGCGGGCGGATCGCCCTGTGTGTGTGTCCGTGTGATGGTGACGCGTGTAGCTAGCTAGAGTTGTACGTCCTGACCCTCCAGGGGATCGAGCTGCAGTCCACGAGTCGCAGTTGTCGGTGGCGCACGTGCGTTTCAGTGTCCCTCACGTGGGCTCTGGTCTCGCACCCTCCCCACTCGTCTGCCGCTATCTGCTCGTTCCATGTCGTCTGTGAAGGCAGCGGTGTTGTTGTTGTTGTTTCATTTGTAGAGTTCTGAGTTCTTTGGTTTTTATAAATAATAATAAAAACAAAAAAAACAAAGCCTAAACAGACGTTCCTGTGCTTCTTATCGTTGCGATTGTTTGCGAGTCGAGTACAAACGGCCGCGATGCAACTACCGAGGTTGCTTTTAATTTGATTACGCTCGTTCATGCCCCCCCACCCACCCGCAAGAAAGATTTCCCTGAGTCTCGTGGCTCAACTTCAGGAGGGTCCTGCCACGATTTCACAGCAGGGGGTGGGGGGGGGGCGCGATGATCGACATTCATAATCTCAATCATGGGGGGCCAATGCCCAGCCAAAACCGGACACCTTTATTTACTCATTTTCAGTTTTCAATAAAGATTCATAATTAATTAGACGCACCGGCGATTCCTAATGTGAGTGACAAAGCGAATCCCTCACCACCCCAAATATAGAAGTCAAACTCTGCCTATGATGTGAAAAATAAAAGGTTTTACCCTTTCTGGAAATACAGCAGGAGGTGTTAAGATGTTCAAACACCAAATCGAAACATTTTGCAAGGAATCAAGTCCCATGATACCCGCCTATGATCTCAGTTGGGTCATTGGGGTTCGTTTCCATCTCCTTGCGCGGCAGTTGTAAACAGCGATGCCCTCCCTTCAGCCGCCACCCACCTCCCCATCGCGTCTGCCCATGCTGGTCGTGCCACACCAGCACTTCGTCGATCGTGGCGGGGTCGAGTGTGGGTCACCTCAATCGTATGCTCTCGAGCCCCCGCTCGTCGAGGCCCTTCCTCCGACGGTGGTGTGATCGAGAAATTGCAGGGCTGCGCTTTTACCTTTGGACTGAGAAAAAAAAGGGCAAATGTCCCCCGCGGTGATTGATGCCACCGTGCGGTTTGTACTTTCCTGCATTCCAATCAGCGAAATTCATTGCTAAAAGCACACTGGAATCTGCTACGGTTTCCTGGATTTCGTAACTGCTTTCCGCCTTGCTGGTATGTCGTAGCGACAACCCAGAACATCGCATGCACGCACAGTCCGTCGCTGATCCGCTGCTAGATGACGGACTCCCATGCCGCGCGGGTCGTCGTGGGGGTTTCATGGCCATACTTCACCACGCCGGTCAGTGCGGGGTTGGTGAAGGCGGGCAGCACAGAAAGTGCAGTACAATGATTTTTCTGGACTGGCCTTCTGAGAAGACGTTGCACTAACGGTGCGTTCAATGCGAATTGAACTGTGTAGCGTCTCTTTATCAGAATCAGAATATTTATTTATCCTGGCGAAATCCGATGAGCTATGAAGCTTTTTTTCACAGATGTCCAGTTGGGGCGAGTCACAAAGTTACAACAAGACCACAAAAAACGATAGGAGTGCAAAGTACAGGAAAGGTAAGCACATCACAAAATAAATCGTAAAATAGATAAAGTATTTCAGTGAAAATTGCAAAAGTACACATTCTCAAGCCTGGCCAAGGGAGAATAACAACATCAAGATCAGTGCCAGACCACACCAAGACAACACAACACAGCCACCAATAAAATTACACATTTAAAGTTAACTGTCGATACATGGGTAAGGATAAAAGTTACAAATCACATTGCCAAATGTGGTTGTATCCAGCACAAATCTTCTGCTTCAGAATATTTTGAAAGGAAGATGTACACAGCACGATGTAAAGCAGGGGTGAGGTACGTCCGGACCGCGGGCCGTGTGAGGCCCGCGAAGTCATTTGGTGTGGCCCTGCCAAGGCAACCGCAGGCGGGACTCGAAATTCAATAAATCTAGGAGCAAACCTGGAAAAGCAGTTGCGAGTAGCAGCAACATCATCAATACCAGCTAACATCACACGCCTCACCAAAGAGAAGCAGTTCCAGACATCACATTAGGGGTGAGTTAATTAAATGTTTGACCAAATGTAACGGGCTAATTTTTAAGTTGATAATTTTGTATGGCCCGCGAATGATGTTATAAATATCCAAATGGCCCTTGGCAGAAAAAAGGTTCCCCGCCTCTGATGTAAATGGAAGAAACGAGGTTGTTCCAAACCATTGGTATTGCAACGCCAAAGGCATCGTCACATATTCCAATGATTGTTCTTGGAATATTTTCAAGGCAATTGGATGGACGTCTTAGGGCCCTTGGGTTTGACAAACGGGGTTCATGTATGAGCAAAGTCGAGCGCAGATTTGCCAACAATAAGGAGTTAAGCCGAACACCTCACTCAACAGCCAAATACAATCATTCACACACACTGCAATGCTTTAGCAGATTGAGTTTAGATCTGGAGGTAAGGGGCCGTCCATAAATGACGTCACGCACCTAGGGGGGGGGGGTCAGACATTTGTGACGATGTGTGACGAGGGAGGGGGTTTGAGAAATGTGACGTCACATCAAAATGCGCAACTTTAAATAAATATAGACAACACGTTCTACTTAATTAAATATACTTTTTAATAAATGTTTTCTCTACAACACCAGAGTGCAGCGGCACATTAAATACGCACTACAATGTCAATCATTTAAAGCGATTTGAAGCATGTTTTATTTGGGGGGGGGGGGCAGAGCTTCGTGACGTCATATTTGAGGGGGGGTCTGACTTTTTGTGACGCCGTGTGACGAAGGGGGGGGGGGGGTCAAAAATCGTCCCAAATCGCGTGACGTCATTTATGGACGGCCCCTAAGACCGCGTGACTTGGCAACAGCTTCAACACTGGAGGCAAACAACCCCTTCCATCACTGCGTTGTGAAATATCCAACGCAGAAGATCCCCTGGGGTTTGATCTTCCATGAGGCTGGCTTGTGGTCCACCCTAAACCAGATCCACTCCACGAAGCGTGGCAGTCGATGTGGATGATAACTGATGATGCACAAATGGCAATTGTAAAACTTCCCAATAGTGGTGTGTGACTGCATACCTCTCAGACCCTGATCAGTGCCCACCTTATTGCAGACCAATTCAGACCCTATTGGTCACCCCGTGCCCTTATACATCTCAACGTTCATCATACAAAGTCCCATCACAAGGGAGAAACACAAACAAATATATATATATATTTTGCCCGTATTGAAACGGTTGTACGCCGTCTGGACCTGAAAATTGCTCAATTACCCTGTACAAGAATAATAGGGGTTTTCCCCCTTTTTTCTGGCAACAAAACTCAAACCTCATGTCTGCATTAACCACAAAACTTGTGGTCAAAATGCAAACAAAAAACACACTCCGATAATATATGCATTATCCTTGAAATAGATATTGCATATATTATCAGTGTTTTTTTGGCATTTTGACCACAAGTATTGTGGTTAATGCGTACATGATTCCTTGTAAAAAGGTTTCAGTTTTGTTACCAGAAAAAAGGGGGAAACCCCTATTATTATACTTTGGTACTGGCAAAGGAGGTCTAATGTTACCCTGTACAAGAATACGGAGTGAGCCCTGTGGGTTGACAGCCATATGCGACTGTGATCGTACAGGACAGACCCGCACAACACGTCACGACGCAATTCCCCGATCCACAATAACACGAGGAGACACCACGGCGACACACAACTCCACTTCTGCTCCTGAGACGGCGGCTGTCTGGGCTTTACCACCTGAATGTGAAAGCAGCCGGACGAAAGAAATGGGATGGATCTGGAGGTAAAACCTCTGATTTGGCGGTCACCCCTGAGGGCACGGGCGGTAAGGCTCGAGGCAATGGGGGAAAATCCTCTGATCTGGTCGCCGTGCCGCATCTGGAGGTAAAAAAACACATTCTTGCGGAGGGAGCTGGTAGGAACGTTGGGTTGCTCGGTCAGTGGCCTGCAGGGTCAACGGCGGCGTGGTGCATTCCGCAAATATGGCCGACTGTGAGGGCGGGCACAAGCCGGCATGAGTAGGTTAAACGTTGAGTTTTATAAGGGCACCACGGGGTGATCAGCCCCTCCCCACCCAGCCCCACCCCACCCTCCACACCCAGCCCCTCCCCACCCAGCCCCTCCCCACCCTCCACACCCAGCCCCTCCCCACCCTCCACACCCAGCCCCTCCCCACCCAGCCCCTCCCCACCCTCCACACCCAGCCCCTCCCCACTCAGCCCCTCCCCACCTTCCCCTCTCCACCCAGCCCGACGCCTCCCATTGTTGGATGCACGACGGACGGACGGACACAATAATCCCCTGTGGGCTGGTGGAACCAGGTGGTTCCTACCAGTAAAACCTCTGATCTGGTTGCTGTTCCACATCTGGAGACAAAAACCTCTGATCTGCTTGCCGTGCCGCATCTGGGGGTAAAAAAAACCTCTGATCTGGCGACCTTGTGCTCGTCTCGCGTGCCCCCCCTCCCCCAACCCCGCGAGCTGGAGGTAAAACCTCTCTGCTGGCACCGGCGGCGAGCACGCGCAGTCGGCGCAGCAGCGGCAGCAGCAGCAGGAGTAGCGGCGCGGCAGTCGTCAGCGCCATGGGGGACAGCATCCCGCTGTACCCGGTGCGCGCCCACGGGCGCCAGGGCCGCGGCCTGCGCAGCGCGCACGACTCCAGGTGACCGGGACCGGCGCGGCCGCGAGGACGAGACTCGGGGAGGCCGCGGGGCTCCGGGCGCCGTTCGACTCCGGCCGCCTGCCCGGGCGCCGCGTCGCGTGTGTTTGTTGAGTGTCATCGCTCGTGCGTGAGAGGCAGAGGAGGTGGAGGAGGAGGAGGTGGAGGAGGAGGGCTGGGCTCGTGAATTGGCGCCAGCGAGGCGCGGTGGCCGAGTCGGGCCCAGGGAAGAGCAGCCCCGTGTTGTTGTTGTTTTAGGGCGTTGCGATTTGGTAGTCCGTATAGTCGGAGCGCGGCGTCCGATTGGATGCGGTGGTGTCACGTGAGCGCGCTGCGGCGAATCGCGCGCTGCGAAATTGCGTGGCTGCGCCTATGCAGTGTGCGTATTGTAATTAGAGGCTTTGTGTTTGACAGTCGTGTCATTCAGAGGCTCCGGCTCACTCAGTCATTCACCATGTAGTCATTCACTCATTCATTCACTCAGTCATTCACTCAGTCATTCACTCAGTCACT